AGACAAATGGGGGAATTACTGATGAGGAGGCAAAGGCTGTAAGTGTAACTGTTGTATGGATAACTATTTGTGTGTAGAAATATGATGAAATAGTGAAGGAAGAGAGGGAGGTAATGAAGTTAGATCAAGAAATTGAAGAATTGCAACAGAAAAGGCAGATCAAAGTGTATCATATAAGATCTTTGAGAATAGAAATGGTCAGTTTAAAAATAGACAGTATAGTAATAGTAAGTTTTGTATTTTTTGTAGGGAATGAATGGTAGAATAGGGCCACCTATGCCACCTTCAAAAAAAAGAAGAATAGGGAAATGAATAGACATTATGTAACTTTATTTGTTTGAACCTTTGTGTTTCTGTTTTGAAAAGAATGTTTTTAAATGAAATATGATATTGTATGTAGTGATATATAACAGTCACTGATACATGATATAACAAAATTTGGCATTACTTGTGACAATGGTAAATGTGTCATGCACTACAGTATATTGATAATGAAACAGAAATGAGACAGACATGGGAAAGAGAGAGAGGGACATACAGATACAGGCAGACAAAGAAAGAGAGAGAGAAATACAGAGAGAGTGTGTGTTGAAATGAAATTGAATGGAGAATATAAATGTAATAGTAAATTGCATTGTAAGTGATGTAAGTGTATATCATCATGGGTGTATTAATTTAATAATGGTAATTAGGTTTGTGAATGGGTATTGAATCACATGTGCAATGAGTGACATGAGGGACCTGGTTGTACATGTATATACAATACGCAGAAATATATAGGGTCTTGATTGTTAATTGACCATTTGCAACAAGTGTACAAAGGAATTGTAATTATTCATTAAGGTTAATTGTGGTCATTGAACATGTACAACAAAGTGTAAAGCATTAAAGTATGTCATACATTGTGAAGTGATTTTATTAGGTACCTGTTTACTTTGTGTGCATTTTATTAGCAAGCTATATTTTATACACATTATGTAGATGTAGTTGCTTGCTTCAATCATTGCATAGTATAAACAGTATTAGGAAAGGTTTGTTGAGAATTATAATAGTATCATAGTGCATGCAGTTAATTGTAATGTGAAAGGTGACATAGACTTGTGTCTTGATGAGACTTGTGAACAAAGGTAAGAAATATGTATGTGAGTATTGAGAGGTCATGACCACATATGGGCATGTTGATATCATAATCATTATGTTGCTGGGTAGTGCAGTTGGTTGTAATGTGAAAGGTGACATAGGGTTGTGTCTTGAAGGGACATGTGAACAATGTATAGGTAAAGACGATGTAACGTGTATATATGTGAGCATTGAAAAGTGATGACCACATATGGTATGAGTATGTAAGAATGTAGGCTATTATGTGTGCAAGAATACTAATTTAATGTGAAATCATGTTGTTTATTATTTCCTAGTATATTGGTAAAAGGAATAGTAAAAGAGTAACATGTAAGTACTTATGACTAGGAGTAGATAAAGAAATACAATGTTAGTCTTGGTCAATTGTATCTGTGTGACTGTTTATCTGTACATCTTCCACTACTGGCATGAAACATGTATGTCATGTTATTTTATTAGGTGCCTGTTTACTATGTGTGCATTTTATGAGCAAGTTATATTTTATACACATTATGTAGATGTAGTTGTTTGCTTCAATCATTGCATAGTATAACAGTATTAGGAAAGGTTTGTTGAGAATTATAATAGTATCATAGTGCAGTTGGTTGTAATGTGAAAGGTGACAGACTTGTGTCTTGACGAGACATGTGAACAAAGGTAAGAAATATGTATGTGAGTATTGAGAGGTCATGACCATATATGGGCATGTGATGCAGGATTTGGTTATGATATGAGGAAGAAATGAATATTGTATGACATGGAAGTGGGTCATATGACTAAGTGGGTGTGGGAAAAATGAAATGCTATAAATAGATGAACTGTAGAAGCAATATCCAATGAAAGGAAGAATGCCAAGTAAGTCATTTTTGTTAATTGAGGCATAGAAATATTTGACCATAATTGACAAAAGGTACCTTATGGCGGGTAGTGAAATTTCATTTTATAGCCAAAAAAATCCAAGTTCCTGAGCTTCATTTATCATAAAATTACTCCACAGGGTGCAAAATGTTCCTATGTAACTTTTAGAAACAATGCTTGTCCAACAGAGGACTCACAGGATAATGTTTTTTATTGAAATGATAAATTTTAAAATCCGCCGTAAGGTACCTTTTGTCAATTATGGTCACATATATATTTTTAGGTACAAAAAAGAGAAAAGGTAAATGGACAATAATAATGAAATAGTAGTATTACATATACAAGGTGGTGAGAAGAAAGCATCAAAAGAGGTGGTAGAAACAGGAAAAGGTGAGTGATACATGAATGTTAATGTATATGAACATGGCTTCAAGTAGAGAAAGAAGAGTGTTTAGTGGAGGAAACAGGAATAGGTGAGTGAATACTTGTGGTATTGGAAGCATATAATTTATGCCTTTTCAGCAGAGAAGGGAGACTCAGAGAAAGGAGAAGAGGTGTTATTGAAAGAAGGAGAAAGTAGTGAGGTGCCAGAGATAACAATAGGTTAGTTTTATATTGCTTGTTGTAAGGGTGTATAATGATGTGTATAAATAAATCATCAGAGAAGGAGAAAGTAGATGGAGAAGTACATGTAGATAAAGGAGAAGAGAAACTAAGTATGTGAGTATATAGTGGCGTTACAAAAATTATGTCATACAGGTAATGAGTTAGACACAATTACAAAGGAAGAAGTAGATGTTTTCACTCAATGTACAATTGAAGTACCTGTCGGAAACAATCAGGAAACACCAGTTCCTTCTCAAAGATCATCAAAGAAACACATGTCTTATCCTTGGTCTTCTCTTTCACGGGAGGAACGCTTAGCAAGAGCAAAGGAACTGAGAAAGAGATATAGAGAGAGTGGGGAAGGCTCCTGGGAAGGTTATGACCCTCATGTTATTAACTTTGGAATACCCCTCCCACAAGACGGCCCTAGGCCTAAAAAATGTAATGTGTCATTAAAAATAAAATTTCTATATTACTTGATGTTAAATAACTGTGTAGTGGCAAATAATACCAAGTCCTACTGTGAGTTCAACAGAACCACATCATGAAAGCAGCATGTTTGCCTTTCACACGAAGAACATATGAGCAGAGTGATAAAGGTAGTACCAAACCTAATGTTATTAATATTGAAGTGCCCCTCCTACAGAAGAGGCCCAAGATGTTAAAATATTATATTTTTATTACTTGATGTTAAATAACTGCGCAGGAAATTTTCCTTAGTGACTAGACGCAAATTTTGGGCAAAGAAGGAAGATCAGTGGTAAGGACGAAGAGCAATTGACCTTTGATGCCATGGCAGCCATGCTAATGTAGCTCCACCCTCTAGTCTAATTATTTAAATGAGAATAATTTATTTTTAGTATGATGATAAAAAGGGACGATAGGAAGTGTTAAATGAGTGTTGCTTTTATGACACGTATAATTCTTAATTTTAAGAAGACAGGGGAGAGTTGTGGAAAGATGAAATAGGAAGATATAAGAAAATGTGCAGTTATATGTATGGGGATATGACTAAGTTGAGTTCGGATGATGAGTGACCAATGACAATTAAGTAATGTCAAGTTCTTGCAATTGCATGAGTAGTCAGTACCATTGTAGCAAGAGTACTTTGTCTTTAACCACAGGAGTCAGCGTTAGATGTGGAAAGTCTGAAAAAAAGGTAGGGAGAGTGGGCCGGGAGGAGCACCCTCTTTTTGTGAATGTCAACACACCCCTTTAACAATGTGGGCCTAGATACTAAAAGTACGAAGTAGAAGTGAAAATGAAATTATTATCATGATTATTACTTGATGTTAAAATAAGTGGGCAGGGCACTGATAATTGTGTGAAGGAGACTGAAAAGGTTATAAATAATGCCAGTGAGAGAAAACTGGTTCTATAAATCAGCAGTCGGTGGTATTATGAATGAATGGTTGCTTTTTGTGGGAGGAGCATTTAGCAAAGATAGAGGGAATGAAGGAAGAGTGGAGAGTCAGGAAACGTTAAATCATGAATGTGGACAAACCTCTTCTGGTTGTAGAAACTGCATGGGCATATGTAAAGTACATACTAATTAACAATTTAGAGTTACATGATGTAAAAGCAACTGTATATGAAAGTGATACAGAAAGATTTGTTTAATGTAAGAATGCTGGCAGTCAAAAAGGTATCCATCATGTGTTAGAGAACATTAGGCATATGCAGTTGTGTACTTGCTATTAGTGTCCATGTGAAGAGATTAACTTTTCCTAAAAGAGAGTAAATTATTGTTATACATGTATAGTTTTAGATTTGGTACTATGGGTTGTCATGTTTTCTACTTAAATTCTGTCTTGATTCTGTATTAAGTACAGCAAACCAATCATTGTAGATTGTTTTCTTACGAATAAAGAATAAGTGAAATATGTAAATATGACTTTTTGATTACATTAATAGTGTCACTAGGGACATTGCTTTATGATGATTGAGAAGTAAAAAATGACAAGCATACTGTTTCATCTAAAAAGTGTAAAATATGTATTAATAATTGCGATAGCTGCTGTGATTGTGTAAATAGATGTTATTTTTCATGTCATTTTTATACTATCAAAAATGAGCCATTGATGAATAAAGGTAAGTTATTATGATGAGAGTTGTAAAAGAGACATAGATAACTATGATAATAACATTGATAGACATCGCCATAAAAGGTGTTGTTTTACAATGAGAAAATAGACTCTAGGGAAATGCAAATATGAGTGATAAGAACAAGTTAATTGTTATTA